AACTAGAGCTGAAATGCTTATATATAATGTTTGGATGCAATTTCTTTTTTTTAATTTTCTGAGACTATCAACTGATAATTTTAGCAAATTATTTTATTCCTGCTATTTTCTGAGTTTCCTCTAGTTACTTTTTTCCTGTTGAGTTTAGTATTTCTTTTTTAATAGAAGACTTTTATCAAATATCTAGCAATTCTTGTCTATTTGTTAATAGCTAAGATTAAGATACTAAAAAATAATTGAAAGCCTTAAACAAAATATTTCAAAATACTTTAATCAAGTAACTTCTGTTTTTGTTTTTTTTTTTCTTTCCTTCATCATAGGTTTCTATATCTTAATCTTTTTTTCTGGCTTCCCTTGTTCACAAATTTTAAATTCCAATCTCTGCTAAAATACTTCATTCTCAGATAATTCCCTGAGAAACGTATTGAACATGTTAGACTCCATCAGCTATTCTCTATTCTTTACATTTGGTCCTTCAAAACACTGTTCTCTATTTAAAATTATATTAAACATTTTTAAGAACTTATTTACGGTCTCTCCCCCTTTCCTTTGGCGCCTAAGTTCCATAAGGGAACAGATAACGTGCTCTTCTAATCTGCGTTGCCATTTACTATAGTGTCTGGCACATAATAGCTTTTCATTAAACATTCATTGGATGAATGTAGTCCACCTAAATCAGTATACTAAGTTCAGTGGGTTCTTTTTAATGGCAATTGTTTTTCATTAAAACTCTTTGTCAGGGAGGGGTAGTTATAGAAAGATTGGCTCAAAGGAGATTCCAGAGCAGTCACTATACTTTCAGACCCTTAGGTGTTTGTTCCTTGTCTGTGTAGCAAGGCTGTATTAACCATTGCATCAAAAATCACAAGGAAAGTATCTAGCAGATTTTTGTAAATTAATCTCAGTGCCCAGAAGTTTAGCTTTAGGACCTAAACGAGTGGATAATTCCTCACTGAAAAATAGTGACGTGTTCAGTGAATCTGTCATATTGTCACATAAAGAACCAAGGGACTCTTCTTGATTGAGTCTAGAGAATTTTTAAAGCAGTGTCTTTGGAAAAGTGTTCATTTTGCTTAAAGCTACACATGGTAAATGATGCCCAACACAGCAAATACTTTAAGTTCATTGAAATTATTCCACTTGTTAATAGACAGATCATTAAGAAAGAAGAGAGAGCATTCAGATACCATTCCTAGCAAAAATTGGGGAATGAATATTCTACGTATGCAGGAATTTTACAAATGGCAGAAAGATGAGAGGTGGACTGAAAGCCTTTTTGATTGTTCTTTTCTTCCTGCTAATTCAGATATTAGATTTTTACTAAATGCAGCAAATGTTTATTGACTAGCTTTTGTGTGAAGATGCTACTGGATTTAGTTACTGGGGATACATAGATAATCAATATGGGAAACCTTTCCTCATAGGATGAACTCAATACAAACACATATTTGCAACACAAATAATAAAGTAGTGTATGTGCAGTCAAATGGGGCAGTCAAATGGGACGGAGTGAAAAAGAAGCAGCAGTTATTTCTGATTTGGAGTGTATATGAGTAAAGGCATTCTAGAAATTTGAGTAACATTTGTAAACTCTGAATGCTTGTTGGAACTTTAGGGTCCCTAGGGTGTAATTCATATTGAACCATTCCAATTGGGTAGAGTTTTACTGGTTTCAAAAATTTTGAGATTGAGTTTGCAATACAAGCTATTGAACAGAACAGTTTGCGTGAGTGTATGCATTTGTGTGCATGTTCCTGTGTATGTTAGGGGGAGAGAGACTCATTCTTGTGACATTTGTGCAAAAGGACTCATGTTTTAAAATGGACTTAAAACTTATAAAGTTTTATTTATAATTTTGGCAACTATAATTCAGGTTTTATAGCAGGAATCTATGAGGTAGTTTCAATATACAACTCCTATGTTTTAAAATAATCAAGAAGGTTAAAAAGTCTCTATAATTTACATGCTTTTAAATGTAGAAGTGAGAGTCTCATAAGCAACCCAAACTATTTGTGACACATATGCTTATCCTCCCTGATTATATTTACATTTTCTATAAAACAAAGCTTAAAAGAATAAAAAAAAAAATGCAAAGCACCAGCAATTACTCTGTGTTTGAAGTAGGGAGGGGAAACAGGATTGATATGTGTGACGCTTCATGCAAAGCGCAGTAGTAAATTTTCCCAGATTGGTAGTCATTCCTCCCTCTCCTTTAACCTTGGAACATGTTAGATTTTATTCCTCTGTGGCATACAAGGCATAGCATTTATTAGCTGAATATTATGCACAGTTGTTACCATTAATTACTTTGATAGTAAATCTGGATAATAATAGTCAGTTTTAAAATAAAATAAAAGTTGCAGTTATTTTTTTCTGGAGTCTTGATTTGTCAAGAGGGAAAAAAAGACTCTTCTAGGTTTAAAGAGACAGAACAAACTTCTAAACGGAAAATAATCTATTCTTGAAGCAAAACAAAACAATAAAATGTGATTTTTGGCCTTAATTTGATAATTTTGATTAGAAAAACATTAAATTAGAAAAACCTTAGAAAAGAATTTATTGTGTACTAACTACATATTATGTATGCTAGTTGCTCATTTCTTATAAAATATTAATAGTCTCATGAGACAAAATAAAATAATGCAGGCAATGCATGTGGCGGTGCTTAGGTTTTATATTGTTGTTTAAAATATTTCATTTCTTTTACTTCTTATAATTCCTAGATTAGGACAAGATTTTAATTTTGATTTTAAGGACTTTACTTCTGAACATAAAAAAAAGAAAAAAATGAGTCTATGTCAATGCCTATCAGTTTGAAAGCTGTCAGCCTTTTCTGAAAAGGTATTTTAATAATTCATGAAAAATAGGAAACTCTCTCATCCATGGGCATTTGGTCTCAGAGGTATAAGACAAAAAAATTTATGGAAACTTATACAGCTACAGGCTTCGTGCTGGTCTGGTAATCTGCAGCCCTGAAAAAGACAGGCTTCTTCCCTGCACAGTAACAGGAGACGAAAACCCAAAAGGCAAACAGTTTGTATGAAAAATAAAGACATGGTATTTGAAAGCATTTTTAATTGTAGGAACAATGCTGCCTGAAAAGTTGAGTATCTCATAAGACTTTATATCCTCTTAAGCATAGAGCCCATACATTTTTCTGAACTATGACTGTGGATTATAAAAATTGTACTTGCTTTCCCACAATTACCATTTCTCTTTACTCCTTGTCATCCTCATTGTGAAACATTAGCATAATTTACACAAAATAACAAGAGAAAATATAGAACCCAAAACATATCCTACCACTGATATAAACAGCAATAATATTTTAGAAATTTGCTTTCCATACATTTTCTATGACTACACATATATATCACATCATGTTATCATCTATTTTAAGGATATAATTCATTTTGCATACTTTAAAGATTATTTTTCTTTGAACTTCCTCATATAAGTTAACAATCTCCCAGGAATCTTTCTATAGCTTTTCCTAGGCTCTTATCATAGGAAAAGATTAACATGTAGAGAATTTTGGTCACTGTTTAGTATATGGGGTCACATTTTACACACTTCCTTGCTGTGCACCCTCAGTCACGTTTCTCACGGTGGGTGCAGGGCGCACCACTTGGAGGCTGGACACGCTTGAAGCTCTGGCAGAGCAGGGTGGGGAGGGGGGGCAGGGGCAAGATATGTAACCCTAACAATATTTGTACCCACAGAATTTGAGATAAAAAAATTAATAAAATAAATTTGAGGACATATCTAGACTAAGAAGAAATTAGAGAAATATTTATCCTCCCCAGAAAAAAAAAAAGAAATGTTTTCAAATTACCTGATGTAAAACTAACCAATTCTGTTTAATGGTATTGCTAAATATTGGTTTATCCAATCTTTACACCATTGATACCCATATGCTTAGCTTCTAATGTTTTGTAACTGCACAAGATGTTGTAACAAACCTTGTGAAGTAAATATGCTTCTAATACCATGAGAGAGATATGGCATTTCAATTGAAATGCAGATTGCTAATTTCCCTTCTAAAAAGATTAATTTCAAGAAAATTATCTTCTAATAAATTTCATACATTAGTAGTTATAATTATTCTATTTCATTTTGGTCACTATGATAAATGAATGGTATATTATTTTTGTTTAATGTTCATTTTCCTAATAAATACTGAGTTTGAATCTGTTTTTACTTATTTATTTGATATTGGCTTGGCTTTTTTGTGATGTATCTTTTTAATTTTGTATCCATTTCCACTAGTTTTTTACCTTTCAAAAATCAGTTTATTACTGAATTTTATATTATAGATAATTTTCCTTATTCACATTGCTAAATATTTTTCTCAGTCTCTCAGATGCATTTGATTTTGTTTAAGATATATTATAGCGTGTCAAATAATTCACTTCACAGTAAAACATATTTCTTTATGATTTATTAGTTTCCTTACATATAACCAATATTCTTTTCCTTGGCTTATATTATCCCAATGGCCTACAAATCTTTTATTTATTTTATTCATTTAATATTTGAGTTCATACTTCATCTAGTTTTAATTTTATATGGTGTGAGGAGGTGAGATCTAATGTTATTTTATTTTAAATAGCTGGTTTTATTAACACTATTTATTAAATAAGCCTTTTCCCCACTGAATTAGATTCTGAACTTTTTAATAATATGAATTCTAATAATGAACATAATATATTATTAAAATATATTTTTTAATTGTAAGTGTATTCTTTACTTTATTCTACTGATTTAGTTTATTTTCTCTAACAGTACCATACTGTTTTGATTGCAGTATATAATATATAACCCTAATCCTGTACTCAGAACTCTACCCTTTGTTTATAGATAATCAAAATACTGTCCATTTACATTTAACATAAGCACCATACTTTTCCTAATACTTGTGTCCTAGCTTCTTGGCGCTGCTATAACACATACCATAGACTGGGTGGCTTAAAAAATCAAGATATTAATATATTTCTCACAGTTCTGAAGGCTGGGAAGTCCAAGATCTAGGTGCCAGCAGTTCTTGGTGAAGGATCACTTAATGATAGCTGCAGTTAGGCTCATGGGTTTTCCTTTGTAAGTTACCCAATGCTTTTGCCTTATGACCTCATAGGAGTGCCTCTTTCATGTTCATTTTGGCCAGTATGATGACTATGTGTCATGGTGTTTGCCTCTTCATGATGAATATCCCATGGGTCCTTTGAACTTCTTGTACCTGGATATCTTTATTTCTAGCAAGGCCTGGAAAATTTTCCTCAATTACTATAAATAGATTTTACAACCCTTGTGTATTTTCTTTTTTGCCCTGAAAGATGCCTATGATTCTTATGTTAGGCCTCTTTAAATAATCTCATATTTCTTATAGGTTTTATTTGTTCCTTTTATTTCTCAGTTCTTTCTCTTTAACTGACTTGTTTAACTCAAAGGTATTGTCTTTAAGCTCTGAGATTCTTTCTTCTGCCTGATGTAACCTATTCTTAAGGCTTTCCACTGTGTTTTGCAATTTCCTTGAATGAATTTTTTCATTTTTCAGAAGTTTTTTTTTAATAATTTTTAATTTTTTAATATTTTTTTTAATAATTCAGTTTCGTTAGTAAATTTTTCATTCATTTCCTGCATCATTTTTTTGTGGTTTGTTTGTGTTGGGTTTCTAATTTCTCTTGTATTTCATTGAGCTTCTTTACAATCCATATTTGAAATTCTTCATCTGTCATTTCAATCTTTTCATTTTGGTTGGTATGCATTGGTAAAGAGTTATTGTTTTCTTTTGGGGGTATCCTTTTGCTATGATTTTTCAGGTTTCTGGAATTCTTTTGCTCATTCCTTCTCATCTGGCCTCTAAATTGAGACATGAGTGTGCTACGCCTGTCTTATGGGCCTGTCATCAGATCCCTGAAGATCAATCCATGAGCTTGCCAGGGAGTGGAGTGCTGGTCATGAATTGCCTATAGGGTGATCTGGCAGTTTAGATGTACCTCTCAGGTTACCTCTGACCTTCTGTCTTCATCTCTTCCCAACAGTGTGGAGTGAGTTAAGTCCCCCAGCTTAATCTCTGAGATGGTGGGTGGTACTTGTAAGTGTGAATTAGCTACTCCCTGTTTGCTTGAGTGGAAGGAGATATGTTTAGGTATGGGGTTGTTCTCTCTATCATTCATTGATGTTTGCATGGAAGTCCCAGCTGCTAAGATGGTCTTTTGTATCTGTGGTAAACTCTGGTCCCCCAGGTGGGCATACAAATGCACCAAGCTTTAGAAGGGACCCCGTAGCTCCCAGTGATTTGCTTGATTTCTACTCCCCCTGAGTTGGGGAGAGGTGCAAGACAAATCGTGGCTATATTGTGAAAGCCAAGAGGCTTTGAAAGGCCTCAGCGGGTCTCAGAGGTTGCTAATCTGGCTACTATGTGGAACTGCTGGTGTGAAATTCAGAACAATCTCTCCAAGACAAGTAGGCTGTTCCCAAGGGAGGTACATAATCACTTGAGAGCTAAGGCTTCAAGCCAGGCTCTTTCCACTTTTGTCCCCAGCATAGTTTCTTCTCAGGGTGGGGTGAGTGCCCATGCTATTTGCTCCCTGTAACTCCAAAGTACTCTCCCATCAGATCAATTCACCACATGAGTTCTCTCACTGCCTGAGACTGGCTCTCAAACTACCTATCAGTCCACGTGTCTGATGCACTAGCATGTTGTTGGAGACTAAGACCCTCCACATTCCAATGACTTGTCCTGACTTGTCCTACGCACGGAAAATAGCCTAAGATGAAAATAGCACCCAGCCCTCCAGCTATAGTTCCAAGAAGAATGCATTACAGCTTTCGGTGCCATTGAGATGCTGATTGGGGCTGATTAGCCCACACCCAAGCCTCATCATCCCCCCACTCTATTTTAATGTTTCTACTTCCTTGTTTTCTGTATATAAAACCTACTAAAAACCAAGTAAAGTAGACCTTGACAATCATTCGCTTGGTCTCGTTTCTTTCTCTCGCTCATCTCTTTCAGGCATGGTCCCCCTCACCCCCGCGAGTAACAGAAGGTCCCGAGGGCCGGGACAGCATGTATCCCTGTGGGATGCTGGAGGTGGGGGGATCCCTAGGTGTGCACACCTATTCTACCACAGGACCTTATGGGCAGAGAGGTAGGCCTATCTGTCTGCATGGGTTTCTGCCAGGAGCAGGCTCCCACGTGGGAGAAGCCATCACCTCAGAATTTTGTAACTCAGATTGCAGTATGGGGGAGGGGCCACTGCTTCTGTTCAGCTGGAGCACCTGAGGCATTTAGTTGTCATGGGATCCAGGGGCTATGCTAATTCACTATGATTACCACACCCCTACCCAGTATGGTGGTTCTCCAGTGAGGGTGGGGCATGGGCATGCTCACAGATCCCTATTCCTCAGCACCCCTCCACACTCTCTCATTGGATATGTTCTTGAGGGCTTCCTTGCCACTGGTGTCTGGGACTGAGACCTATCCCCTGTGTCTCCCTGCACTGCTCTTGTGTCTGGGGGACACTAGTTCCAGCCCACCTGTCTAAGCCTCCAGCATACAATCCCACTAAACACCTGTGAGCAGGAAGCTTGCAAATTGTGGCAGCCCCACTCTCAGTGGTGGACTCAGCTGGGAACATGCACGTGCTATGGAGACATAGCCGTTCATATGCTACTCAGTTCAGAGTATTCTCACAGTTGCAATGGGGGGAAGGGACAGAGCTATTAGCTGGCCTGAGAGTTAAAATTATTCTCTCTACTGCCAAGATTGGAGGGGGTGCAGAGGAGGAAGTGTTTAGGTGTAAGATAGCCAGCACTCCTACCTCTTGTGGCACTCTCATGAAAAGTGTACTTTTACGCTCCCTTGGATCATTGGTTCACCTCCCTATTCCTGTTTAGTCACCATGCCTGGGTGGAAGGCATCCAAAATGCTTTATGTCCCAAAGTTCACTGAAGGTACATATTTAGGGGATGGGAAGCCCCCTTTACTCTTTTACTGGGCTCCAAGCCTCTAAAAATCAAATATTTTATTTAGTTTTGGGTTTGCATAATGCCACTGTATTCTCTTCTCTATTTTCTTCTTTTTTAGCTTCACAATTTTTCTTAGTTGCATCTCCAGACATCTCTGTTGTCTCTCCCTGTGATCCATATCTGAGCTTCAACTGCCCTCTACTTTCCTCAATCCAATATTCTGCCTTTCAGCCTCAGCCAGAATACTCTGAAAAGCAATATGTTTAGTCAGCTATCTTGCCCCCCAACCCCACCTTTTTCTGTCTCTTCACTTTCAGTCTATTCATTTCCTTACAGGTAAGATGAATTTCTTATAAGCAGCATATAGTTAGGTATTTTTTGTTTTATCCATATAATCACTCTATATCTTTTAATTGGAGAACTTAATTTATTTATGTTTAAGGTAATTATCAACAAGTAAGATCTTACTACTGCCATTTTGTTATTTATTTTTGAGTTTTTGGTGGTTCTTTCCTTCTTGTTTTCACCTCTTGTCTTTCTCTGTGGTTAGGTGATTTTCTCTAGCAGTATATTTTGATTTATTTTTGGTGTATCTACTACAAGTTTTTGTTTTGTGGTTACTATGAGGCTTACAAAAAATATCTTGTAGGGATAGCAAGTTCTTTTAGGCTGATAGCCACTTAACATTGATAATAAAAATAGAAAAAGAAACAGAGAACAACTCTATAATTTAACTCCATTTACCTCCACATTTGAAATTTTTATTGTTTTTCTTTATGTCTTTTCATATCACTTGACAAATTAATATAGTTATTATTTTTAATAATTTTGTTTTTTACTCTTCATGTTAAAGATATAAGTAGTTTAGGTACCACATTTACAGTGTTAGAGTATTCTGGGTTTGTCTGTCTACTTATTCTTCCCAATGAGTTTTATAGCTTTACATTTTTTTTGTTATACATTAATACCTCTTGATATCAATTTGAAGAGGTCCCTTTAGCATATCTTGTAAGACAGGTATGGTGGTGATAAATTATCTTACATTTTGTTTGTCTGGGAATGTTTTTTAATCTCTGTTTTGTTTCTGAAGAATAGTTTTTATGGGTACAGTATTCTTGGTTGGCATTTTTCTCAACACTTTAAATATATTCTCCCACTCCCGTCTGACTTGTAAGATGTCTGCTGAGAAGTATACAGCCAGGAGAACTGGAACTCCTTTATGGGTTATTAATTTCCTTTTTCTTACTGCTTTCAGAATCCTTCCTTTGTCTTTGTCCTTTGAAAGCAATCAAATAACATGTCTTGTGGTAGAGTTATTTGGGTTGAATCTAGTTGGTTATCTTTAACCTTCTTTTACCTGGATTTTTTTTTTATTTAATTGAAATCTTAATTAGATGTCAAAATAAAAGACATCTGCTACACTTTAAAATATTGATTACATAATAAAAAGAGGAGGGCTGATCATTTAGTTATGAGCCAGCTATGCCACAATGATTATTTTGTGGCATTTTTAAGTAAGAGAATTAATTCAGTTCCTTGTGGATAAGAGATAATACACATCTATCTAAGCTACAAACGGAGAAAAAATAACATCTAGTAGCACAGAAATGCTGAAATGTAATTATACTCTCTTCTTGGCTGGAATAAAGTGCCATTAATTTCCTGCAAACATTAAGTGATAAAAAGATACACTGAACTTTAGAGGCAGTCATTTTTTTTTAAATCTCCTAGTGGTACACCTGTTTTGCTGAGTTAGAGGAAGCCAGGCTTGGCAAGTGCATTTTCCAATAAAGCAAGGTGGTAAATCTGAGAACTAGAATTATTAATGGAGCCCAGTATTCAAACTCCAGCTTTGCTACTTATAGTTTATGAAATCTTCAGTAAAGATAACTTCTCTGGGCTTCTATTTTTTAGGCATAAAATGAGCATGCTGCTGCTGCTACAGATACTGATTACCTTTAGTATACAAAAGAAAACATTAGATGAAGAATGAAAATGGGGGGCGGAGCAAGATGGCGGACGAATAACACCGCCAGACAGAGGGTCTCTGCAGAAAAGACCGATTCTAGCAGAAACTAGAGGAAAGAAGCAAGAAGA